CCCAGGCCGAAAACAGGGGGGGGGGGGGGGCTGGGGTCTGCACAGGACGAGTACAGAATAACAATGCTGACAACAATAACAGTAAGGGGAGGAGGAGGCTGGGAAGACTTGTCACCCCCTTTGCTGTGCTGGCGGCACTGTGCAACCACTGCAGAAAACAGTGTGAATTTCCCTCAAAACTGACGACTAGAGTGACTGTATAGGGAGGACAGCAATCTGCTTTCTTTTCTTTTCTTTCTTTCTTTCACATTTTGTTTTGTTTTGATTTGCTTTTTGAGGCAAGGTCTGGCTCTGCAGTTCAGGCTGGCCTTGAACTCACTATGTAGCCCAGCTTGACCATGAATTTGCAGTGATCCTCCTGCCTCAGCCTCCCCAGGGCTGGATCGCAAGCATGTGGGACCACGCCCGGCAGCAGTCTGGTTTCTGTAAGCCAAAGAACAGAAAGTGGGCTCTCAGCTGGGCTCACAGCAGCAGTATTTACACGGCCAAGTCCAGGGACAGATGGAGAACAAAGAAAAGGAGATGCACATGCAGCAGAATGCGATTCCATTTTAAAATGCAACCGGGAGCAGGAGGGTCACAGCAAGTTCCAGCCCGGCCTGGGCTGCACCATGCGTTCAAGGCAGCCTGAGACCCTGTCTCAAAAGCCCGGGAAGAAAGGAGAGAGAGAGAGAGAAAGAAATCCATGGACAATGAGGGTCCGGCCTGGTCTGAGGCCGCCCCAGCCCGGCCCGCAGGGCTCTGCAGAGCCAGCAGCAACAGCGGGGAGCCTTAGCCCTGGGGACGACACAGTGCCCAGCCACCAGGCTGCCTGCCCCTGTGCTCAGCGCAAACACCGTGGCTTTCCACACAATCTCAGCGGCCGGGGCTGGGTGGGAGAGCGGCTGAGTTCATGCTCTGCTCGCTCCCTCCGCCAGTGCCCTGGGTTGCCCGGTCTCCTCTCCCAACTCCCAGGCTCCGGGAAACTGAGGACTCCGGGACCAGCCCGACCCTTGACTCCCGGGAATCCCATCCTCAGGAATTCTCTAAAGGGAATCCGTGCAGCTCACCAGGTAAGGAAATGAGTGACCTCCATGGCTCAGTCTCTGAGGTATTATCTGGATTTATCAGGAAACAGATCGGAAAGCGAGTCACTGCCCCGGGCTTTGCCATGTTAAGGGAAAAAACCAGTTCCGACCCAGGCTCCCGAAGGCCACTGGCCGTTCCTCATAACTGAGTCCCATGTGGCTTTCCTCTATTCATGCATCTGCTTATTTAATAGCTCGGGGGCACCCCGGCCGCCACTCAGGCGAGGACCCGACACCAGTGCACCCCGGCCTACAGCGTGACTTCTACAGCGGTTTCTCTTCCTTTGTTTTGTTTGTTTGAGGCAGGGTCTCACCACGTAGTTTAGGCTGGCCTTGAACTGGGTACCCCAGGCCCGGACACTCTGCATCCGAGGAGAGAGGTTTGGGCCAAGCCTGTGACTCCTGTACTTGGGAGGCTGAGGCAGGGGGATCTCCAGTTCAAGGTCAGACTGGACTACATAGCAAGTTCAAGGCTGGCCCAGACTATGCATCAGGAAAAACTTTTCCCCTGATTAGAGAGCTAGATCCAGCTTCTAAATAAATAAAGTAAAATAAACAGAGCAAAATAAAAATGATCACCCTGATTTCCTACAATCAAAGAATCCAACTTTTTCAAACCAGCAACCAGTTACTTTATTTTAATTTACAAATCTGTTTTACACTGTTAGGCCTGCACACACACACATTCGAGTGTACACAAATACACACGGTGGACTGCAGTGCTGAACAGGCTGCTAATCGGCGAGCAATAGAGACTAGAAATGCTGACCCCTGAAAAGGTAGAATGATCCCGAAAACTGAGATGATGCACTAAAACAGCAACCCAGACAGAGAGCTGGGCTTCAGTGTAAATAGATGACATACATGCACAGCTGCCTAGAAAATCCCCCTGCAATAGAGCTCTAATTACTCAGCGCTGCCTACGGAAGAGAAGAGAGAGAAGTTAGCCTGTGACCAACCCTGGGCTGGGTTCTCCGAGATCCCAGGCTTTCGGGTACATCCTCGTCACTGCACCACACAGGAGGCTGAGGCAGGAGGATCACCATGAGGTCAAGAAGGTCAGCCTGAACTATGTATGGAGACCCTGTCTCAGAAAATTAAAATAAAACAAAACAAAACAAATAACAAATAATATGAAACGGCAAAGGCATGCGGCCCACAGATCCTAAAACATTTCATGTCCTAAGATATTTAGAATCTGATTTGTTTACTACCTTGTCCTATACTAGAAAAAGTCAGCTGACCAGTAGCTCTTTCAGAACCTAAGAGAGATGATAATGATAATTTCGCCCAATTCCTATAAATCAGAACATGCATTTTCCCCAAGAAATGGTTCCATTAAGTCAAAGGCAGGATCAACCATTCTGCTTGAGGACAGACACGCCCCCGCTGTGGGTCCGGACCCCCTCAGTTACATTCTCTCCATCCCTGGCGATGTTAATACGATTCAGAAAATCAGATAAAATTAGCATCAAATGCAAGAAAAGTGGGGAAGCCAATTAAACTTACAACAAAAGCAAGTTCTGAGTTAAAATGAAGCATAGACAACACTTCTTTTGGAAATATCGCGTCTGTCTTTAATTTAATACTGCATTAAAGCTGGTAATCACTGAGGTTCATCAAGTCAATTTAGATATATCCATAGTATTTTGGATTTTAATTTTAGAACACATTAGAGTTTCAAAGCTGACATTTACTATAAATTGGGCTAATTATTTTCTCTAAACACTATTTAAGTAGACAATATTTTATGATTTCCCTCAGAAGGTTCACATGGTGTACAGAAGAACTCAATTTGTGAGGGTTTTTTTTCCTTCTCTGATGGAAATATTTTCTAAAAATGATACAGGCATGGAGGATCCCTGTTACTTCCAGGCCAGAGTGAGTTCGAGGCCGGCTTGGGCAAGTAGCCCCTGGCCCTGGAAGGTCACTTGGTCAGTCTGTGAACAGTGTTCTATCACCAGTTTGCCCTCCTGACACACCGGTGTGGCAAATGGGTGTCCACAGAGCTCGTGGCCCAGGTCCCATGGTGCTCACTCGGGGCCCCTCACCCAGAACCCCCACACCTACACCTGAGCTGGGTGGATGCAGCTGCACTGACGACAATGTGGGCTTTTTAAGTTTGCAGTGGCACAGAGGTTGAGCCCAGCGGTGCCCCCACTGAACCACCCTCTCGGGCCTTTTATGCTGACAGCGTCTCGCTCAGGGGCCCAGCCTGGCCTTGAGCTAGCATGTCATCCTCCCGCCTCAGCCTCCTGGGCAGCTGGGACGCAGGCCTGCAGCATCACCCGTGGCTGGGGCCTGCTCTGCATGCTCCCCAAATCCGTGACATAACAAGTGTCCGTTCTAAAATCCCATCGTTTTATTCTTTGAAGTTTTCTTTATTTATTAACTTATTTTTGAGTACAGGGCATTGAACCCAGGGCCTTCCCACCGAGCTATGTCTCCAGTATGCTCTCTGCCCCTTATTTTGAGAGGGAGGTCCCACTATGTTGCCCAGGCGGGTTCAAACCCTAGTCCCTTCTGCCTCAGCCTTCCCAGTGCTGGGATTACAGGCGTGCACCACCATATCCGGTCCAAAATGACACGTTTTTAAAATACACAATTTATTTTAGGGAAAGAAAAAAAAACTTCATCTCTGGCATGAGAACGAGCAGCTGGAACACCGGTATCAGCTACACGATGAAAACAGAAAAGTTGGTTTCCTTATTCTGCTGTTGGGGGAATTTTGTTTTGTTGGTTTTTCTTTTGCCTTCCCTCCCCTCTTTCCTCTTTCCTCTTCCTTTTCCTTTCCTTTCCCTTCTGACAGGGACTCGTTCGGAAGTCTGGGCTAGTCTTGGATCCTGTGTGTAGCCCAGGTTCCAGGTGAACTCACTGTCCTCCTGCCTCAGCCTCCAAGGACTAGGACTATAAGCATACACCACTGGGCCTGGCCTCCCTTATTCTTCTATAGAAATAAAGACTTTTGGCAGGCTAGTGCTTTGTATATGAAAGAATAAGATTAGATATAGATATAGACAGACAGCTAGTGAGACAGGGTCTTGCTGAATAGTCCAGGCTGGACTTAGACTATGTAGCCCAGGATGGTTTTGAACTCACACTGGTCCTCCTGCCTCGGCCTCCCAAAGGGCTGGGATTACAGGTGTGTGCACCATGACTAGCATAAAAAAAAATGTAGTGATTTTTTTTTTGGAGACAGAGAGGGTCTCACTATTTAGTTCAGACTGGCCTTGAACTCCCAGCAGTCCTCCTGCCTCAGCCTCCCGAGTGCTGGGCTTACAGGTGTGCATCACACACCCGGCTGGATTGACCTCTTTGGATATGAAGATTTGCTCTGGTCTTGAACTCACTGTGCAGCACAGGTGTGGCCATGCTCAATCCACACCTGGGGACAGACCGTAACACAGTGCTGCTAAGACGGACCTCGCCCCCACAGCTGGCCAGTCCCGGGTTGTCAGGAGGGGTCTGAGGGGCCAGGTGGCTCTGATGTGAAGAACTCCTGCTGACAACCTGCACAGCGCTTGCTAATTTACTGGCTTCCCAGGTGCAATCTGACCCGGAGACACACAGCTGGGTAACAAAATCAAATTGCCAACAGCTTAAAATGTTTATTTTCGAGCTGGGCGTGGTGGCGCATGTCTGTGATCCCAGCTCTCCTCTCGGGAGGCTGAGGCAGGAAGGGGTTGCTGAGTTCGAGGCCAGGCTGGGCTACATGGGGAGACTGTCTCAAAAAGCAACACCAGGGCCAGGGATTTAGCTCAGTGGTTCCGCCGCCTGCCTCCCAAGTGCAAGGACCCGAGTTCGATCCCCGGTACCAAAAATAAAAAGCAAAACCAAAGCAAAAGCAGCAAAACCCCTTCCTCTCCAACTGCACCAACCCTCCTGGCCCCCGGCTCCGCGGTGAGAGCCGCATTCGGGCAGCGCGGGGCTCACCTTGGATCGTGCGCTTGAAGAAGGCCTTGCAGGCCTCGCAGGACGCCACGCCGTAGTGGTAGCCGCTGGCGATGTCGCCGCACACCAGGCACAGGCGCTTGGGCATGGAGTTAAGCATGTACTCGCACTTGGTCTGCGGGTCCTCTACGATGGTGCTGGAGCAGTCGTCGTACAGCTTTCGCACCGACCCGCTGCCCGCCAGCAGTGGCGCGGAGGGGTACAGGGGCGGCGAGTCCAGGCCGTTCTGGTGGCCGTTCATGGTGGAGCTGTAGCTCCCGCTGGCGTCCGAGGAGCCGCCCGGGCTGTGGTGGTTGACGCTGTCCGTCAGGGAGGCCGGGCTGGACGGCTCCGTCTTGATGAAGGACGAGCAGCTGGAGTCAATGTGCCGCTCTTTGCTGGACATTCTGCAGAGAAGCCTGCGCGGGCGGAGAGAGGAGAGCAGGCGTCAGACAGGGCACTGGGACAGACAGGGAGGGCGAGGGCTGGGAGGGAAAGGAAAGCGCTTGTTCCTGAGGCAGGGTCTCACTGTGGAGCCCCGGCTGGCCTGGAGCTTTGCCGAGGTCCCCCTGCCTCGACCTCCCCAGCGCCGAGATTACAGGCGTGCGCCACCACGCTGGCCGGAGAAAACTGTGTGAAAAGCATCGCTCCCGGTTGGCACTTCCTAAAGGCCAGGGGCCTGCACACCGTTCTTTCTGCAGTCAATATCCTCGCTCCACAAGAACGCAATCAGCGCGGGCAGGACGGGCCACGAACCAACCCGGCAGGGCTGGCCAGCCACCCCCCCACACACACACCAGGGCGTCCATCCATACCAAATCAGCCCCCGACTGCAGACTGAAAGGCCCAGCTAGTCTCTAAAGTCCTATTTCTCCGCACTCAGCCTTTCCTTCCACCCCAACTGCAGCCCATTTACCGCAAGCGGAATCAGAATCATTCCCACCGGGGCCGAGGAGCAGAGCCCGGGACCGCTGCAGTTAGCAGCGTCCTCAGGCCCAGCGGGGCCCGGGACCCCAGGAGGGGACTTGTGCTCACTCCGCATCTTCACCAAGAGCTCCACCTCGCAGCCTCGGGCCATCAGGGCAGACACAGAGTGCGAATCCTGCTCAATATGTAGGGTCATTTCTGGAGCCCCACAGAAATGAATGATCACCAGCACTGATGAACAAACGTGTGCATGTGCATGTGTGTGTGCATACGTGTGTGCGTGTGTACACGTGGCCTGCAACTGTGTGAAGAGATGAATCAGTGGAAGCCCCGAGAGTCCCCGCATCTGACACACTGGCCGAGCTGCTCCTGTTAATTGGTTACAAGTTTGGGGAGAACCTGAAAGGACACTGCCAAACACATTATGCTGCCTGGAAAGGCACCAATGAGCGCCAGCTCCACACATCAAGTATCAAAGCTGACGAGCACCAGGGCAAAATTTCTGCTTCAAAACACGTTGAGCCTGTAATCCCAGCACCCGGGAGGCTGAGGCAGGAGGATCACTGTGAGCTGCAGGACAGCCTGGGCTACACAGTGAGTTCAAGGTCAATCTGAACTAAAAAGCGAGAGTCTGTCTCAAAAACAACCAACAACAAGAAAAAAAACCCTAAAACAAGGCAGCTGAGTACCACCACGGTATGCTATGCTGCACTTCCTCGTCAGTACTGTAGAAATGGATCAAATTTTGTCCTCAAAAACAGATTTCTAATGGTCCTTTCCCTTCCCCTTCACATTTTTTGACTTTCTTTTTTCTTTCTCTATCCTGGAATTGAATCTAGGCCTCTGCACTGAGCTACATCCCTAGTCCTTTTTTTTTCTTTCTAATTTTGAGACAATGTCTTACTAAATTGCCCAGGTTGGACTTGAACTGTTGACTATCCTGCCTCAGCCTCCTGAGTGCTATGATTACAGATGTGTGCCACCACACCCAGCCAAAAAAAAACGGTCTTTCAGCACCACACCTCCAGAAACAATGCATGCCAACACGACTAGCCTGAAACGCCTCCCCGGGAGTCACACGTCTGTCCCAGTGCAGGCCCCAGCCTGGCCCGCTGTCCCAGAGTCCTGGAAGGGACTCACCCTGCCGGACAGCAGGCCACCCTGACCTCCGGCTTGGCCCACCCGGGGCGCCATCCTGGCCCGCTGCCTGGTCCCTGTCGCCTTAAAGAGCACTGGAATTAACAGCCGGCCTCCTGTCCCTGCTGCATGGGCGAGGGCTTCTCTCGAGTCAACGTGAAAGCAAGCGGCCGGCCTGACTGCAGCAGCCCTGCATTCCTGTTAATTAAGAGGCCTGACGCCGCCACTCCACTTAGTGCCTCCTAATTACCGGGCTGCCCGCACGTAATTACGCGCCGCACCTGCACCGGAGCTGGAAGTTATTGGGCCACTAAAGCGCGCTGGGTCCCCTTTCCTCTGCCTGCCACTGAATTTCTCCGAGCCACACAATGACTCTTTCACCATCTGCCCTCCAGGCACGGGTTTGAGTCTATTATTTTCCTCCTTGCTTTGCACTGCATGATCACAAAACATACCCACCGGTTGGTTCCTTCTCCTCCCTCTCTCTGTACCCTACCCACGCTCACCCCAATTTTCTTAACCTCAGGCATTTCCTTGTGGACTTTTAAAATTTGCAGAAAAGCCAGGCATGGTTGTGGGTGCCTGTGATCCCAGCCCTCGGGAGGCTGAGGCAGGAGAATCACAGCAAGTTCCAGGCCAGCCTGGGCCCCACAGGGAGTTCAAGACCAGCATGAACTGCATGGCAAGACCCTATCTCAAAAAAAAAAAAATTGCAGAACTCCTGACTGAGGGATGAGGCCAGAAATGACCCTCCCCTCCCCTGCATGGAACGGCTGTTTGCTAAGTCACCAAGCGTCTGGCATCCGCATGGTGTTCAGGTCCCGGAAATGGAGGCGTCTCAGCCTGCTGTCCCTCCAAAATCTCTGTCCATAACTTCAAATAGCCTGGAGGCAAGGACAGCAACGCTGGGTCCAGGTGCCTGGAGTCCTGGAAATCTTGGCAGGGTCCCCTCAGCAAGGCCCAGCCACTTCTGAGGGGGATGCAGGCAGGGACGGGGTCCTCGCTGCCCGTTGTGCCTGGTTCCCTCCCAAGATGAGCCAAAGCTTGAGCCACCGGAAATACTAAGGAGGCTGCCATCTGTCGGGTGCTTCTTAGTTCTGGGCGCTGAGCTGAGCCCCTCACTCGTCCTGCTCATTCCACACCCAAGCAGAGCACGAACCTGCAGAGCACAGGGCTCAGGCCTGAAGTCCCGGCTGCTCACGAGGCTGAGGCAGGCAGATCGCAAGTTCAAGGCCAGCCTGAGCAGTTTAATGAGGGCCTTGGGAAATAAAATCAAAAGGGCTGGAGAGCAGCCTCCAGGAGGAGCATTCAGCAGGCTTAAGGCCCCGGGTCTGAACCCTAGGACACTAGGAAAATTTCCAAAGTCCCGGGCTGGGTATGTGTAACTGGGCAGTGAACACCTGTCCACCATGGGTGAGACTGGTTCAATCCCCACTCCCACCAAAAAATGAGACAAAATAAAATAGTCCAAGTCAGCCTTGTGAGTCGGGCATCACAGCTCTTTAGGAAAGTCAGCTGCTCTGAGATTTACTGATGGCCACACCACTAACAGGTGGTAGAGACGGGGTCTGAACGCATGTCTAAGCCCAAAGCCCAGTGTATAAATATCCTGAAGACAAGAGCTTTTAATGGTGTTTACTCATGGTGGAGGGGCTGGGGCTCGCTGTATAATTCAGGCTGGTACTGAATTTCCTATGTAGCCCAGACCGGGCTCAAACTGGTGGAGATCCTCCTGGCTCAGCCTCCCAAGTGCTGAGATCACAGGTGTGCGCCACCAAGCCCGGCTTACGGTTGTTTGCTCATTTTAAAAAAGAAACCAGCTGCACCAGCAGAGGTAGAGGCAGCACACACAGAGATCAGCTCCTGTTGCTCAGCAGTTCTACCTGGGAAAGGGTGGAAAGTCGGCCCCGGGGCACCCCCTGGCCGCTCAGACAGAAGTGGGGGAGCCACAGCCTGCTTTCTGCTAATGACCACTCCTCTCCTCGGTGAGCCCTCCCTCGGGCCCAGTGCATTACAGCCTCACGGCAGCAAGTCTCAATTCTCGCTCAGCCTCGGAAACGCCACAGCTCTATTATTCAAGCCTGAAATATTCACAACTATCTGTAAATTCAATTGTCAGCTGGTGGGTTTTATTCTAGACTTCACTTCAATCTAAAATTAGAGGCACTAAAATTCACATTAACTCTAAGAAGAATGCAGTGAATAAGACTTTATTTAAAGGAGCACCTTTTTGTCAGAAAGAGCCATTTTCAACATGACGGCTTTATCTGCAGCCAAAGAGAATAAGCCCAATTCCACATTGTGCTGTTAATGCAAAATCTTAGGTCACATTGGATTAATAAAAATCTAAATTTAGTTAACTATGAACAGAAAAAACATGTGTCCAAATATGTGGGAAACATTTATTTTAAAGCCTTAGTATGGGGCTCTTTCAATGTATTATTTTAAAAGAAAGGATGAGAAAGACAAGAAATTAAAACAAGGTGCTTTCCAAACAGCTGTAAAATGAGAGCCAATTACGGCAAGAACAGCACTCAGGGCCGGGCTATCGCTCAGGGGCTCATGCTCGCCTAGCATGCGTGACGCCCTGGGTCACAAACCCACTGCCACCACCACTAAAACAACAAGAACACCAAATCAGTTCCTAGATAAGAAACTAAATTTGAGGAACATAACAGCCTTGCTAAAATTTCAGTGCTTTGTAAAGCATTTCCAGCCGAGTGTGGTAGCACACACCTGTCATCCCAGGCCTTGGGAGGCTGAGGCAGGAGGACTGCCCCAAGTTCAAGACCAGCCTGGACTACAAGAGAAACCCTGTCTAAAAAAACCCACAAAAATAGGAAGCATTTCTGATACAGTTTAAGTTATAGTCTCAAGCGATTCTAATGACCATACTTGAAGACAGGACCTTGTTTCCGGCCCTGCCAAGGTCTGCCAGGGTAAAATGTATCTGTGTTAGGTATGAAGGGTCGGGCAACCCAAACTCCTCAGCGAGTGGCCTGTCCAGAGACGGGGCTCCGGGTAGTGAACGTCATGCAGGTATGCGGGTGTGCAGGGAGAAAGGGTCAGACTCGATTAGGGCAGCTGCTGTCAGGGAAGACAAGCCGATCAGCTTTGAGTTCAAATTCAGTTTAGACTCTAACCCTCAAGTTAACTGTCATCAGGGATCCTCCCAGGCTCGGGTTGGTGCACGAACTTGGCTGTACGTTTCCACGCGCCTCAGTAGCTCTGCAGGTGCTGTACATTTTCATGTAAGCCAAACCCCCCTATATGATCAATGCTAATACAACCAGAACCTTCCACAGGTGTATGCATTTTAATGCTCCCGTCAAAATGCAAGTTCTTAGCAAACAGC